CCACCCGCCTCCCTCGTGTCCTGTGTGCACTGGTCTACATCGCTCTGCCTGTTGCGTGTTGGAATCCACACACCTTTTGTTTGACAAGTAAAAGCTGCAACACCCTTGATGGGTTCAGCTGCTGTGTCTGCGGTTTGCCCCCCACCCTGTCCTCACCATCCAGCCTCAGCCGGACCTCTGCTGGCCACTCTCCACGTGCAGCCAGAAGGACAAAAAGTCCCTTCTTTTTTATTATTATTATTAATGGAATGTTTTATTTTTAGCATAGATGTGATGACTTTTTTCAATATTTTTTTATTGAAGTGTAGTTGATTTACAATGTCATGTTCATTTCTGCTGTCCAGCAAAGCGATTCAGTTATATATATATATATATATATATATATATATATATTCTTTTTCATATTCTTTTCCATTATGGTTAACTGCAGGATATTGAATATGGTTCCTATATATATATATATATATATATATATATATATATATATACACATATATATATATCCTTCTTTTTTAAAAATATTCTTTCCCGTTATGGCGTATCCTAGAATATTGACTATAGTTCCCTGTGCTGTACAGTAGGACCTTGTTGTTTATCCATTCTCTATATAATAGCTTACATCTGCTAACCCCAAACTCCCACTCCATCCCTCCCCCAACCCGCTCCCCCTTGGCAACCACAAGTCTGTTCTCTTTTGTCTGTGAGTCTGTTTCTGTTTTGTAGATACGCTCATCTGTGTCATACTTTAGATTCCACATGTAAGTGATATCATATGTTATTTGTCTCTCCGTCTGGCTTACTTCACTCAGTATGATCATCTCTAGGTCCGTTGATGTTACCGCAAATGGCATGATTTCACTCTTTCTTATGGCTGAGCAGAATTCCAGTGTGTATATATGTACCACATCTTTATCCATTCGTCTGTCAGTGGACATTTAGGTTGTTTCCATGTCCTGGCTATTGTGAATAGTGCTGCTTTGAACATAAGGGTGCATGCATCTTTTCGAATTATAGTTTTGTCTGGATATATGCCCAGGAGTGGGATTGCTGGATCACATGGTAGCTCTACTTTTAGTTTTTTGAGGAACCTCCATACTGTTTTCCACAGTGGCTGCACCAACTTACATTCCCACCAACCGTGTAGGAGGGTTTCCTTTTCTCCACACCCTCTCCAGCATTTATTGTTTGTAGACTTTCTAGTCTGACCAGTGTGAGATGGTACCTAATTGTAGTTTTGAAGTGCATCTCTCTAATAATTAGTGATGTTGAGCATCTTCTCATGTGCCTATTAGCCATCTGTATTTCTTCTTTGGAGAAATGTCTATTTAGGTCTTCTGCCCGTTTTTTTTTTTGTTTGTTCGTTTGTTTTTTTGCAGTACCCGGGCCTCTCACTGTTGTGGCCTCTCCCGTTGCGGAGCACAGGCTCCGGACGCGCAGGCTCAGCGGCCATGGCTCACGGGCCCAGCCGCTCCGCGGCATGTGGGACCTTCCCGGACTGGGGCACGAACCCTTGTCCCCTGCATCGGCAGGCGGACTCTCAACCACTGCGCCACCAGGGAAGCCCTGCCCGTTTTTTGATTGGGTTGTTTGTTTTTCTGTTGCTGAGTTGTATGAGCTGCTTATATATTTTGGAAATTAAGCCCTTGTTGGTTGCATTGTTTGCAAATATTTTCTCCCATCTTGACATTCCCTTGTTGATCGCTGTCCTCCAGGGTGAAATCCACACAGCTTGGGTGCCCACCTCCCGGCCCCGCTGGCCTTACCTGCCAGCTCTCACAGCCACACGGGCTGTGAGCTGTGTTTCTTCTGCCACAGGGCCTTTGCACATGCTTGTCCCCTTGTGGAAGGCTTTTCCCGCTTTTCTGAGGTCGGTTAACTTCTGTTCATCCCTCAACTCTCAGTTCAACCATTATTGCCTTAAGGGAAAAAAGCTGGAGGAAAATGTTTTGGTGCTCATACTTTACCGAGTGTTTTTAAAATAGACTGTTTCACCTTTTGAGGATGACCCTGTTTATCAGCATGAAACGTAGCAGGGAAGCTTCTCTGCTCAGCCCCTCATGCTGCCCCTGACGCTGGTTCACGGTTCACATTCTCTTTGGCTCCGTGTGGGGGTCCCCGGGGCTGAGGGCATCTTAAGCCTCTACTTAGTGACAGATCATACTCTGCCTCCACTTTCCTACGGTTTAGTGATCTTTTTTTTTTTTTTATTGATGTGTAGGTGCTCTTAAATATAAAGAAAATTAGTCCTTCAGCTGTGTAACGTGTTATATGTATTTCCCATAGTTTCTTATTTGTCTTTTGCCTTAGCTTACAGTGTTTTTTACATACAGAGATGTGATTTGATTTTTTTGAGGTGTAGTTGACATACAACATTATGTTAGTTTCAGGTGTACAACATAATGCTTCAGAATTTGTATATATTGTGAAATGACTGCCACAGTGAGTCTAGCTGACTTCCCTCACCGGGCACAGATGCAGAATTCTTTCTTGTGGTGAGAACTGCCAAGATCTCCTCTCTTAGCTCCGTTCACGCGCGCGATGCAGTGTCGTTGCTTACACTCGCCGTGCCGTGCCGTCCGTCGCCAGGACCTGTTTCTCTTACGTCTGGACGTTTGTACCCGCTGATCCCTCCACCCACATTGCCCCCCACCCCGCCCACTGCCTCTGGCACCAGCCGTCTGCTGTCGCACACAGAGGCTTCAAGTCTGTCTCTGACAGCTCTGGGCGGGAGCCTGCCGGATGCCCTCACTCAGGTATCTCAGAGAACTGTCCCATGCTTGCTTCTGGTATTTCTCTGACTTCACTGTTTATGTTTAAATCTTTGGTCCGTGTGGCATTTGTTCTAGTGCGTATTGCAAGACCCCCAACTTGGTCACTCTCCAGCTGGTCACAGTTGACCCTGTAGCCTGTATCGAGTGATCCGGCTGTGTCCTGTCCCCGTGGCGCGTCTGCTTCTGCAGCGGCATCCTTCAGGATGCGGCGTGCGACGTGTGTAACATTGGGTGGGGCAGGCCCTGCCTCCGTGCTTTTGTTTTGTGTAGTTTTCCAGCATTTCGTGTTTGGTTTTCCACGTGAACCTTTACACTCAGTCTGTCTGGTTCTAATAGAACGTGTGCTGGGAAGTGTGTTGGGAGGAGACGTTAATTTGGGGGGACGGGAGTCTGTGGTGTTTAGTCCTTTGTTGCCCCTGTTACTGGACACAAATCACACGTGAAGACGTGGGGTCTTCCAGGACCCCAGCCCCAAGGAGAGAGAGGGGGAGAGTGTGAGCGTGTCAGGGTGCGTGCGTGAGCGTGCGTGAGCGTGTGCCTGCCTCTGAGCGTGTCAGGGTGCGTGCGTGAGCGTGTGCCTGCCTCTGAGCGTGTCAGGGTGCGTGCGTGAGCGTGCGTGAGCGTGTGCCTGCCTCTGAGCATGTCAGGGTGCGTGCGTGAGCGTGTGGTCTGCCTGTGAGCGTGTGCCTGCTTCTGAGTGTGTCAGCGCGCGTTGAGGAGCGGGTTTCTAGTCACATTCACACAAAACCGAGAGCTGTTCTCGCAGGGAAGTTTTGTGTGTTGGGGTCTAAGCAGAGCATTTCCAGATGGTTCCGTGTGCCCTGGTCCTCAACTCCCTGCCTGGGCACTGCGGCGCACTTAGCGACAGTGTGTGTTTCTCTGGGTCCTCGGAACCCCACCGGTACCCCTTTCTCTCTGCTCAGCCCACCCGTCACCCAGCCCTGGCTCCTGGCCCGTCCCGCCCTCAGGTGGACTCACTCGGAGCCCCTGCTGTGCCCGCGGCCAGGGCGGCCGTGACCTGTGACGAGCATCCTTGTCGGGTGTGTGCATGCGCGGCCTCAGGAGGTGGGTTCGGTCTCGTTCCCACTCGGCCCAGTACCCAGGGTGCCCAGAATGATGCGGCCACAGTGTGGGCACTCGCCGCACTGTGTCGGCTGAACGCACCTCCTGTCGAAGACAGATGGTGAGGGCCCCGTGGGCAGGAGGGGGACAGGCCCGCAGGTGAGTGAGGTCTGTGCTGGCCCCACAGAGCTGAACGGCGCCGACCTGAAGGACTGCGTGAGCAGCCACAGCCTGAGCAGCAATGCCAGCCTCCCCAGCGTGCAGAGCTGCCGGCGCCTGCGTGAGCGGAGGGCTGCCAGCTGGGCCGTGTCCTTCGAGCGGCTTCTGCAGGACCCGCTCGGAGTTCGCTACTTTTCCGTGAGTCTGACGGGCAGCGGGCACCTCCTGCAGCCGGCCCCAGGGCAGGGCTGGGCAGGGCAGACCTCTCATCCTCCTGCTTCTACCCCGGGCGCTCAGGCCCAGGGTCTGGAGGACGCCTCTCTCTGCTGTGAGGGGCATCAGAGCTTCTTGTGAACCCTTGGAAGCAGCTGCCTGCTAGCCAGGCTGGCTATTAGGAAGGCATGCTCAGCTCCTAAGGAAACAGCTGGGAAGGCCCAAGTGGTCCCAGTGAGGGCAGCTTTTAAGTTTGCTCCCAGGTAAATTCTGGAGAGGCGCTTGGCACCCCTGGTTTCTGTGAAAGATGAAAATAAGAATAAAGTGGGAATAATGAAACAGAGCACAAGAGGAGGGAGGTCCCACCACCACTACTGACGTACCCTTTTCCGAGGATTGTGTGAAGGTTAATCTATGGTGTTTTTCTTAGGATTTTCTAAGGAAGGAATTCAGTGAAGAAAACATTTTATTCTGGCAGGCCTGTGAATATTTTCATCATGTTCCCGCACATGACAAAAAAGAGGTACGTTTCTTCCGGCTGGGAAGTGGGAGTGGTTAAAGGGCAGGGTGATTTGAGCGTAGGTTCACACATAGTGCAGTTTGAAAAGTCCGTGTAAAAATATTTTCACACGATTAAAAAAATTTTTTTCAGCATGTTTCTTAATATATATGATATTTAATTTTGCCTAAACATAGCTTGCATAAATGGCCCTAAAACTTTCAGCACATGTGCTGCCACTCCGTGTGGGGAAGGGGATTTAAGAGAAAATCCTGGGCCATCCTAAGGATGCCCATCCGTACGGCCCCCCTTGCAGGCTGCGCGGGGCCAGGTGAGCCCCCGCTGGTGTGGGTGCTGACCCGCGGCGTGACCCGCTCTGAGGCAGCCTGTGCCCCTCCCTCAGAGGAGGCCTCTTCTCTGCTTCTCATGCGCCGTGCTGCCCGGACCTCCCTCCCACTTTGGCGAGACCACACCATGCGACAGCACCCGCGCCGCCCGCACCCGGATGCCCCTGTAGCAGCAGCACAGCCCCCGTCTGTGGAACATTCAGATTGCGCTTTGACAAAATTTGGAGAGGAGCTGATTTATTGAAAAGTTTCATAGTGGCTGGTACTTTTAGTTATTATCCAAGCAAGAAATATTTATTAGGCCCCAAGAAAATGTCTCTCCATTGCCTGGACCTGTGTCAGAAAACACGTGTGTGGTATGCATGTCCCACTCGTGTGCTGTCGCGTCAGCTCTCCTACAGGGCCCGCGAGATCTTCAGTAAATTCCTGAGCAGCAAAGCCACCACGCCGGTCAACATCGACAGCCAGGCCCAGCTGGCGGACGACATCCTCAGCGCCCCGCACCCCGACATGTTCAAGGAGCAGCAGCTCCAGGTGACTGCCCGGGGCACGGGCAGAGGACTCGGGTCCTGGAGAGCAGCCCCCGCAGGCACCAGACTGCGAGGAGAGTGCCGGTGGGACCCCACCCCTACCCCGCCCCACTCCAGGCCCTGGGCTCCATCTCAGAGCCAGGGTTCAGCAGGGCCCTGGAGCAGGGCATCCCCACCGCAGCATACCTGACTGTTGACAGTCTCCCTTATGCATCTGTGTGTCATCACAGGTTCATGGGCGGTGATATACATAGAGATCGATGGATGTTTGGACTTTTTTCAGTCTTAGGACATCACTGTGATGAAAAGTGTGCATTGGACTTAATGTGTTTTAGAGCACATGTCCACTGGCCTTAGCAGGGGTTACTTCTGTTGCTGAGTCATATGAATGAGGTTTAAGAAAATGGAGGAAGGTATTTTCAAGACAGGTCTCACTTCCTTTAGGTTCCCAGTTGCCTTTGGTTTCATTCTTATTTAACAAAGTAAAGATTCTCCAAGATGGCACCTTGGCTGTCCTGAGGCCGCTCAGACGCTGGCTTTATGTGGGTTGTTGGAACTGGCTGATCATAAGCGCGGCCACCGAGGGCTGGCGTGTTATAAGTGTGATCAGACATAAAGGACCCTGGGCAACGACTCCAGGGGCGATGAGGGACTTTGGGAACAGGTCCTGCTGCACGTGCGGCCTGGCGCCGCCCCGCACCTTCAGGGCCAAGTGTCCGGTTCCGCGTGTCACTGGACAGCGCTGTTTCCTCGGCAGATCTTCAACCTGATGAAGTTCGACAGCTACACTCGCTTTCTGAAATCGCCGCTGTACCAAGAGTGCATCCTGGCGGAGGTGGAGGGCCGCCCGCTGCCCGACGCGCAGCAGGTCCCCAGCAGCCCCACCTCCAAGCACAGCGTCAGCTCCGACCACTCAAACACGTCCACGCCAAAGAAGGTGCCCGTCCCGGCCGTGCTGGCCCCCCCCAGATGAAAGCTGTTCTGCAGAGATGACAGCAGACGCCCCTGTTGGCTTATCCCCTCACCCACAGGGAATGCAAGGCCCTCTTAGCACTCGCCGTGCGTCTTGTCCGAGGCTCTGGTCAGGGTGGGGGGCTCCAGCTGCCATTTCTGGAGAGGCTGGCGGGGCTGCGCCTCTGGCCTTGGGGGACCTGGCCCCTCCCGCGGAGCACCTGTCTTGGCGGCCTGCTCCAGCTCCCTTTCCCATGCACTTCACGTGATGTTAAATTAACTTCACACTGTTTTAACGACGTTTTCCCTTTGATGGCAGTTGAATGGAAAATCGAAATCAGGACGGTCCCTGAATGAAGAGCTGGGGGATGAGGACAGCGAGAAGAAACGAAAAGGAGCGTTTTTCTCTTGGTCAAGGACCAGGAGCGCCGGGCGGTCCCAGAAGAAGGGCCAAGGTGACCGTCCAAGGGGTCCGCGGCTTGTCGTGTGAGGTGGGGGGCGAGGCCCCCTCGGGGGCGAGTGAGGACGTGTGGGCTGTGCTTGTGACATGGCCCTTTGGGGCGGCCTGGCCGGGGACGTGGGGGCTCTAGGGCCCTCCGAGAGGGGGCATGGTGCATTCTAACTCCCCAGGCTAGGGCGCCCCACGGGTACCACCCTCTTCTTGCTTGAGCAGTAATGGGTGCTCTTGGTAGAAAACTTGGAAAAAACAACCAAGTGAAAAGCAGAAAATACAGATGTCCTGCCCTCTGTCACCCAGACTGCCTCTTGCTTTTCTGCCGTGTGCAGAGAGGTACACGCGCTTTTGTAATTTCTTTAAGAAAACGTGACACCGTGGCTTGGGTACCGAGCATTTTCAAAATTGTAATTTTATTATTGTAAATTTTAAAGGTTGCCATCCTAGATCTTCTCTCCCTTGGTTTCTTTCTTGGATGTGGCTGAGAAGACAGTGTGAGAGGGACAGGGACGGGGGCTGGGACTCGCCGGGAGGGAGGTGGGTGGGCGGGTAGCAGCCTGGGCGGTGGGGGGGGGGACGGGGCAGAGAAGGGCGGGGCGCACACTGGGCGCGGGAGGGTTTGGCGTCCTTTTCTTCTCCACAGCCTGTCAGGAAAGGGATTATTTTCTGGGAACTAACCTGCAGGCTCCAGACCCGGGCCCCAAGTTTAGGTTGGGCAGCTTACCGAGGGAGCTTGGAGCACCTGAGGGGGGTGGTGCCTGTGCTGTGCCAGGCGCTTTAGAGGGTTCATCTCCTGCTCAGAGCCGGCCGCAGGCAGGTCTTATGCCCACTTTGCAGAGGGCAGTGTAGGGAGGCTGTGGGCCTCTGCCAGTGCCCTGAGGCTCCAGGGCCCTGCCTGGGGCAGCCGGTACAGCTATTCTTCCGCAAGGAAGGGCAGCCGGAGCTGGGGGTGGGAGCGGTGTCGTCAGTGCGGCCAGGGACCCCCGAGGACCAGAGGCGGGGGAGTGCCTGCCTCTCTAGGTCTGTGTCTCTGAGCGGGACCCCAGGAGACCGGGGTCCCCATACCCGGCACATCTTTAGAGAGCCACCCGGAAAGGCCCTAAGTCCTGACTCCAGGACGCTCCCCAGGCATCCTGACTCTCTGGCCTGGCAGTCCGTTGCTTTTGGCAGGTGGGTCAGTGGGACCTGGGGGCCTCCGTGTAATCAGGCCCCCTGCTCCACCCCCAGGCCCCGGCACAGCGGCATGATCAGGGCCCTAGGCCCTGTGTTTTTAAAGGTCCTTGCTATGTCAGAGTTCTCGCGAGTTTTAGATTACAGTTAGCTTAGTCAGTGACATCGGATGGCGCGATTGTCAGCTCATTCAGGACTTTACAGGAAGACGGGACGTGAGCCGTCGGTAAAAGATGCCGTAACTGGCTGGCACGTGAAGCCACATGTTGAGATGACAATTCCAGATTAAATGAAGGGCAGGGAGGCCCCGCACTTGCTTCCGTTTTGACCTGCGACGAGGCAGCAGGAGCCGGGGGGCTGCGCGGCCGCCAGCAGAGCAGAGCGCGGGCCTGGGCGGTGGCTCCCGGCTCCAGCTGTGTGCCAGGGGCGAGGCTGCGCCGCCGAAGGGCCTCCGAGCCTGGCTCCTGTCCTTCGAGCGTGTCTGTTCAGCCTAAAGGAGGTGTGGGGCTGTGGGGGACGTGACCACGCTCGGGGGGTTTCTCCGCGTCTGCGTTAAGCGAGCAAGCGTGAAGCTGGTGCCGTTGGGTGTTCTGAGTCCCTGTGTCCCCTGCAGACCCCGTGCACACCAACGGAGGCCTGGGCCGCCGGGAGTCGCAGGGCTCCATGACCTCGGCCGGGAGCCTGGACCTGGTGAGTCCCCGCAAAGCCGTGTCCCTCGTAAGGGAGCTGTTGCATGGATGGGGAGGGCGCCCCTTGAGCTCTAAGAATATCTCGGGGCTCGTTTCTGAGACCTTTAGTTCCCGTTCAGGCACATTCCTCTGGACGCCCACGGGAGCAGGCAGGCACTCCTCTTTGTCTCGGCACCTGCACGTCCCGTGAGCTCAGACACCCCTGCGTCTCTGCCCGTGCGCTGGGGGCTGTGCCGACGGGGCTCTTCCCCGCCGGCCCCAGCTGTGGGCCGGGGGCCTGGGTCCTGCCTGGCCCTGCGCTCTCTCCTCACGCCCGGCTGAGTTGCTTGTCTGGCCCAGTTTCCAGTTAGGTGGAGGAGGCGTTGGGCTGCCCTGCTAGCTGGTTAGCTGTCGTCTGATGGCGATTTTGGGAAACCCTGTTGTTGCCGGCCTCCTAGTCACTTGAGATGGTCACAGGCAGTAGTGAGTGTAGATGGCATTTCTTCTTCAGTCATAACAATACCAGTTAGAGCCGTGAGGGTGGACCACGCACCAGTCAGCCATTGCTGCCTGACAAAGCATCCCAAAACCCAGTGGCTTAAGACAAAGGACATTTATTGTTGCCCGTGCGTCTGTGGAAAGGGCATATTTGGGGCCATTTTGCAATCAGTCTACCACCTGCAAACTAGTTTTCTGAAGTAATATTTGGGAGAAAGAGATTTTCAGACCCTCGGAGGACAGAGTGGTAAGGAAGTGACAACCAGGGCAAGTCGGGCATTAGAAGGAGGCACACGGGGAGCCGTCTGTAGCCAGGAAGCGGTGCTGTAACTCAGGGACCCAGAGGTCTGGCACGGGGCGCGCAGGCCGCGGGCTGGCCCCGGTCCGGCTCCTGCCCCCAGCACGTGGGAGCCCTGCTCCGCGCGGTGGGGAGGGGCCGCCTCCCACTCCTGCCCAGTCCACCCGCAGCGCAGGCATCACGTCGCAGGTGCTGCGGCGCTGGAAGGCTCGCTTCCCCATCCTGCAGGCGTGCCCCCCGCCGCAGGGCCTGGCAGTGGGACAGGTGGGCTGGGCCACATCCCCCGCGCCGGGCAGAGGTGGTGGGCGCTCTCTGGGCAGAGGGCACCCCAGGCTGCAGGCTGCCTGCAGGGCGCACCCCCTGGCAGCCCCGCGGAGGAAGGAGCTGAGACTCCCCTGTGCCCCTCACACCCAGCCTCCCCGCGGCGCCCGCTCCTCGTGACCTGGGGGCCAGGGTCTGAGGGGCCTCACACCCTCAGGTGTGTGCCGCTGCCTCTGAGCCTTGGCCTGGCCGTCCCGCCCCCTCTCCCAGCCTCTTCCCTCCAGCCCACCTGCTGTCTGTCCGTCCATTCCTCTTGGAAAGGCCTTGGGCCTGCGAGGTCGGCCAGAAAGAGCCAGAAAGGTGACCAGAAGCAGCAGAGGCTGCCTGCCTTGTCCGTCCCTGGCTCCTAGGCTGAGAGACGGGCGAGGCAGCTCCTGGTCCCCAGATGGCCTCAGTGGGCTCTGCAGGGTGACTCCACGTGCTTCCGGGTCAGGGAGGCCGAGACCGGACCCCCGAAAACAAAAGTGGGAAGGCCCATCCTATTCTAGTAGGAAAGCTAGTTAGCATGGCCCTTGTAGAAGTTTAGACTCAGAGGTTGGAGGCTGGGACTGCAAGGACGGTGCCTGTAGTTGAGAGGGGGGTGGCTCTCTGTCAACTAGCAGCCCCACAGCGTAGCGGCCGTGTGCGCACAGCGCACTGTGCCTTTATCGGAACGTGTCTGCGTTGTGGAGCTGGGTGTGCACAGGGAGCCACACTGCTGGGCCCCCCACGCGTGTGCAAGCTACGATGGCCCTTCCCCGGGGCCTCGCCGCACTTTCCCTGACCCTGCGCCCGCCCCCGTGTCTCCCTGCCCCCCAGCCAGAGGCCTGCAGGACCCTGGCGCCCGAGAAGGACAAGGCCGCCAAGCACTGCAGCATCCAGCTCCCCGACGGGACGGCCTGCGTGGTGCTCGTCAGGGCGGGGCTCTCCATCAAGGAAGTCCTGGCCGGGCTCTGTGAGCGACACGGCATCAACGGGGCTGCCGTGGACCTCTTCCTGGTGGGCGGGGACAAGGTACAGGGCTGCGGAGACCGAGGGCCTTTCCTTTGGGGGCGTCTGCCCTGTGGGAGATCCTGCCGATGGGGGAGCCGGCTAACCTGTGTGTGTTTACCTGAGCGTGCGGGTTCCCTGACCACCTTGGCCTGTGTTGGGCTCTGCTCTGTGCTCCTCGTCTGAACCGTGCGTGTGGCGGAGGTGGGTCCCGAGAGCGCCGTCTCGCTGCACAGAACCCTTTGCGGGCTCACAGCAGCTGGTCAGAGAGCTGAGGCCTTCTCTCCGGCTACGGCGGGCCGCGTTTGAAGCTGCACTTTGCTCTGTGCAGCTGTGCGCCCCGACTCCCACTGACGCCTGTCTCTCTTCCTTTCATTTGTTCCGTAGCCTCTGGTGCTGCACCAGGACAGTAGCATCTTGGAGTCTAGGGACCTGCGCCTAGAAAAACGCACTTTATTTCGGTGAGAGAAATGCAATTGCCATTTTCTTGAGGTTTCCAGATCCACAGGCTGTTTCTGACCACTTGCCCCGCTGGCCTCTGCTCTACTGGGGGTGCCGGCACCCCCACTGTGAGCTCAGAGGGGCAGCCGCACGTGGCCCTAGGCACCCCGGGGGCCAGAGGGTCACGCTCCCCGCCTGCCGGCGACCATGGCAGGGCCGCACCTGGGGCAGGGTCGACCCGTGGGGAGGGGCCGCTCCTTGTCAGGTGTGACAGTCCTGGCTCAGCCCCACGAGACCCTAAAGAAGCCCCCTGTGGGCTCTCTTCTCGTGCAGAACCTGGGGCTGCCTTGGTGATGCCTGTGGGTGCCACGCTGCTCTGCTTTTGAGACGGAACGTCCACATGACAGTTGCCACGTGTTTGTGGCAACTGTGCTCCTGTTTCTCCCCCTCCAACCAGGCTGGATCTGGTGCCGATTAACCGGTCTGTGGGACTCAAGGCCAAGCCCAGCAAACCAGTCACGGAGGTGCTGCGGCCCGTGGCGGCCAAGTATGGCCTGCGCCTGAGCGAGCTGGTGGCCCGGCTGGTGAGTGACCAGGCTGGTGAGTGACACGGGGCCCCCTGGGCCCCCGAGCCGCCTGCAAGCTCAGCGCTGCCTGCTGGGGCCCAGCTTGCCCCTGTTGTCCGCGAAGCGAGCTGTGGCTGGCGTAACGGGAGGACGCCGTGGGGCCAGCCCAGCGCCTGGGTGCGGCTTCTCCACCCAGCAGGCCCTGGGGAGGACGTTGCCGCTGCCCTCCTGTTTCCCACCCTTTGGTGGAAATGCTTGCTGCTTATTCATACCTTGTTCGTGCCCTCTGGGACTTGGGTTGGTATTTGAGATTTGGGGGGTTGGGCCCAGGGAAACCAAGAAGAGAAACAAATGAAAACCTTTCCGCCTCCCGCCGTGTGCAAATCTGATGGGATGACGGCACGCGGTGGCGTGCGTGACCCGATCTGCAGCAGCCTGTGGGGCATCTGCTGCTTCACGGTGTGGCTCCCCATAGGCCGTGGGCCTGACAGCTCTCCCTGGCGTTTCGGAGCCGGGCCGTCGGGCTCCTCCGTGCACGGGTGAAGCAGAGATGAGAGCAGAGTCCCCGTTCCTACCGCCGGAGGGCGGTCCCGCACCTCCACACATTTGCTTTGAAATGCGGTGACTTATGACCCATTGGCCTGTGTCCTCCTTCCTTTAGAAATTATACTTTATCAGAGCTACGATTTCAAGTATTTTTAGGATTTTTATTTTCTCTGAAATGGGCTCCAGAATTGTTCAAGACTTTGACGTGAACAAGAGGACCAGCTAAATTGTTTTCAGACTTCCCGAGGGTAACCCGAAGCCCTTCGCCCAGCTCACTGGGGGATGGGGGTGCCGTCCTGGAGCCTAGAATATGCCGAAAGGGGAGGGACGTGGCCTGGGTTCCATGTGGCCTCCCTGCTTGTACTCTGTTGAGCTCCTAAGCGATCCTTAGTCCCCGTGCCTGTTTCCCCATCGGTAAAGTGGGGTGAGTCATGGAAGTGTGCTCGTGAGGTCGCTGGGGGGCTTCAGCCCCAAAGGGCTGGCCACTGGTCGGGGCTCCTTCCCCACTGGGCTGCTGAGGCCTGACCGGGAAGAGTGGTCCAGCTGCCTCAGGGCTCGGGGCCAGGAGAGTCGTGGAGGGTGGTACGGGGCGTCCTGTGGATGGGCTGTGAGCATGTGGCTTTTCCTTGGACCCTCCTGCTGACCCTCCTCAGTGAACTGTGGGCCACGAAGTCGTGAGCCAGGCAGGACCCTGCTAGCCTTGGTGCGTTCCCCACTCGGCCGGAGCTCTGTCTGGGCGTTTGGTCGCTTAGCAATTTAAGAGCCAGGCTACAAGTTCAGATTCTTTCTTCGACAGAGGATGTGGGACTTGAACAGCAAGATAGTCTCCCCAGGAGAGAAGGGCAGGATCCCGGGCCTCAGATGCGCCTGCTTCCTGCCCACAGGGAGGTGTCTCCCCACTACTCCCACGCCTCCTAGTGCACTGAGGACCAGTGAGGTGGGCTTGAGGTCCCCTCCTCCAGGTTGGAGGTAACGCTGAGACTTAGGCCAGCTTGACTTAACGCCTAAAAGCACCCAACTTGTGGACGCAGGTGGTACCGGCTCCCACCAAGCGCTCCTCCAGCTCCGGGGCCTCGACTCGGCCCAGTGTTGCCAGCAGCCATCACTTGGGTGACAGCCCTGTCACGCGGGCTCCTCCCGGCGCCTGCGTTCCGGGCAGGCCCGCTGGCGCTTGGGATCCTGGTTATTGCATGTCAGGCGTCTGCGGCTGGCCCTGCCGAGGTGACAGGACCTGGGGTCACCTGGCGCGTGACTCCATCAAGCCTGGGATGGTCCTGCTGGCCGATGCAGCACACGCAGTTGTTCCGGAAAGCTCCAGCCTGGGTGAGCCGCTCATTGCACCGTGTCTGCCTCTAGAGTGGAGAGAAGGAGCCCCTGGACCTCGGAGCCCCCATCTCGAGTCTGGACGGACAGCGGGTCATCTTGGAGGAGAAGGACCCCTCCCGAGGGAAAGGTGAGCAGGGTGGCGCTGTCCTGGTCCTGCCAGCCTCCTGGCTCCCTGGGCTCGGCCCCCCGAAAGCTCCCAGCCCTGCTACCCCGTGGTCTCAGAGTGACACTGCAGATGGCCTCACTTGGGCTTAGGGTCTCACGGGGCCCGGCGACCCCCTGCCATGGCCGAGTCCAGCCGTGGCTGGGCGTCTGTCTGCGGGCAGGAGGCCCCGGGACCGGGAGCACGAGGGCCTCTCGCTGGGACCCCTGCACGTCTTGTCTGCCGTAAGGAGGGGCGGCAGGCCCTGCGAACGCCCTGCGGTTGCTCCGAGGGTCCAGCATGCCCTGGAACGTGCTCTCTTCCTGGGAGGCCTCCCCATCCCTCTGCACAGGGACCCGGGACCCTGGGGCGTCGCCGCCCCATGTCGGCCCAGCAGCGGCTGAGGTGGGGGGCTGGGGCCCCCTGTGCCTAGTGCACAAGGAATCGGTGGTTTACAGGGCCCTTTCCCATACGCTGCCGCAGCCCCGCAGCCCTGCCCCGGGGACGGGGGCCTGCACTCCCAGGTGGGGGCAGCGGGGGCATGCCTCCTGGAGAGAGCCTTCTGGAGTCTACTGCGCAGGGCAGGGAGGGGGCCACGTCAGGAGCCGCCCTTACCTTCCCCGGGCTGGCTCAGCTCTGAAAGGGGCTGCCGATCACTCGTCTCCATCCCCAAGGGTGACCCGGGCTGCGGTCGCCCCTCTGCCCTCGGGCTCCCGTGCCTGCTTCCTGTCCCCCTGTGGGCCCATCTGGGTTCTAGAGAACGCTGTGTGCGCTTCTCCCGCACAGTAACCGGCCTCAGGGGCCGAGCGGGCTGAGCGGGGCACGGGTGCTCAGCACCTCCCTCCAGGGTCTGATAAGGTCGGACCTCCCGGGCCGCTTGTGCGCAGGTGAGTCTGAAGGCACAGCTAGCTGCGGGCAGGTGCGTGCGGTGTGTTTGGGACGCTGCTCACAGGCAGGAGGGCTGGGACTCTGCCAGCCCATCCTGGGCCAGGGAAGTGGTCTGTGGGCCACAAGGGCCAGCGGGGGCCAGCCTGCAGCCCTGACTTGGGGCACTGGCCGTATTTGAAGATACATAATAAATGTGAGACTCTCCTACTTTCTAAAGACATTCGTGCCAAATAGTACCCGAAAGGCGCTTTCACTCACCGCGGGACCACAGAGTCCCAGTAGGCGCAGCCAGCCGCGAGCCTTCTCCCCGTCGCCGTCATACACAGCTCGCCCAGACTCAGCGGGCGGAGGAGGCCGGTCCTCTGTCCCTTGACGCCGCGTGGGTGCTCAGGCCTGAACACGCATGTAGATAAGGGACCTCTGATACCTTTGGCTTCTGTACAGCTTTGATCTCAAAGACGTATAAACGTGATTATGTTCAATGTTGAGATGGATTTGCAATTCACTGCAGTTTTATAAAGCTTATCTCACTATGTTCAGCATCCACAGATAAACAGAAAAATGTGCCCCTCAAACAGAGCGCAGCTGTAAATGCCAGCTCCAGAAATCACTCGGCTATGGTAATTCCCCTCCTCACCCTGCCTCGCTCCTTGCCTGCAAAGTTCAGGGGTGGCCGGCCCCAGCGGCTCTCTGCCCTGGCTGGGCCTGCACCCTGGGTTGGGGGGTTCTTCTCAGGGTCCCTTTGTGGTGCCTGCTCCCACTAGCCTGGGAATCGCTGGGTGGGTGGGTGTGCCTTACGTGCTGTTCTTTTTGCAATCCTTATCATTGCGATTGATGTTTCTGCAACGCATGTAAAGTCCAAATCAATGCAATCTATGTTTCAAAGACCCTTTTTATATAACTGATGAACTGTGTTGTCATGTGTCTGAAATGTGAGTGGAACTTTGACTTTCCTTCTGACGCAGGGAGAGGAAAGAACACTAGGCAAGTCTAATTCTATTAAAATTAAAGGAGAAAATGGAAAGAATGCTAGGGATCCCCGGCTTTCAAAGAGAGAAGAATCTATTGCAAAGATTGGGAAAAAAAAATATCAGAAAATTAATTTGGACGAAGCAGAGGGTATGTGTACTTTTTAAAACTTCCACGTTTTTCGTGAATGCAGTGTCAGTTTTCCAGTCCAGTCACTAGAAGCTTCTCTGAGTTACTGACATTGGGGTGGCCGTGACCCGTCACATTGAGCACTCGCCCCTGTGTCTGTCTGTAGCTGTTGGTGTAACTCTACTAGAGCCCCAGTTTTCAGACCGAGAGCCGGGCCCTAGGAGTCAGGGAGCCCCCGCGTGGGCTGCAGCAGGAGGTCTCTGTCCCCCCTCACAGCCGGGTCCTGGCTCAGAGGGGGGCTCGGGACCAGGGTCCACGTCCCTGAGGGTCCTCGCCAGGAGGAGGCCGGTGGGAGGGCCCAGGCCTCGCTGGCCTCCGCTGTCGGGGCCCTGAGGAAAGGCTGTGCATTCGGCCATGGGGGCCGGACGCCCCAGCCGCCCGCGGGCCCGCAGGACAGGAGAAGCGTGGCATGAGAGACGGAGAGGAGGCGTGGGGGACTTCCTTTTCTTCCGAAAGCTCGTGACAGGGGAAAGCTCTAGGAGCTGTTCTGCGCCCTGAGCTGTAACCCAGGGAGCACTTCCTGGGCAAGTCAGCTGGGCTAGTCACAGCTCCCCGTGGCGTCCGGCCACGTGCCAGAGTAAAACACACGCCTGCTCCGAAGTTCTCGCGTTTCTGAGAGCCGTTAAGATTTGAGCTTTTAAGCTCCTTGCTGGTCAGAAGCTCAGAGTGTAACTTAAGCCTCGAGAAGGCTCAGTGTAGACACCATCTATTTTGGATGGTGAGCTCGAGTTACAACTGAGAATCCACCCAGGTAAGAAAAAGAAGAGCTCTGGGGAGCCAGCAAAGAAGCTGGACGTCCCCGGCAGGGCGGAGGTGCCGGGAGGGGGCGGCCTGGGGGGCTGTGGAGCTCCCGGGGCGGGGTGCGCGGCAGGGAGAGGGGTCGAGGGCCGGGCGCTGATCACAGGCCCCATCAGGACCGCCCTCTGCCCCGGCGTGGTGCCCCCGAGAGGGCTCCCACACACGGGTCTAGGCTGGGTCACCAGCTGCGGGTACCAGGGGCTCCTGGCTGTGTCAGGCCGTGGCGCCTGGTCAGTGGCCGGGGACCTCCTGCTCAGAAGGTGGTAGGCTTCAAACGCGGGCGGAGCGCAGACATGGGCCGCGGGCCGCGGCGGCCCGGAGCCGGTCCAGGGAGGAGCGCAGCTGTTCGTGTGGCCTGTGGCTTCCCTGTGGCTGTGCGGCCGGAACAGGAGGAAGGGGGAGGGCCTGGGGCGGCGGGGCAGGGCTTTCCAGATGTGCTTGCTGTGCCTGCCGGAGGGTAAATGCGATAACACTTGGTCAACGTGGGTTTTCTTCCAACAGAGTTTTTTGAGCTCATTTCCAAAGCTCAGAGCAACAGAGCAGACGACCAGCGCGGGCTGCTGAGGAAGGAGGACCTGGTGCTGCCCGAGTTCCTGCGTCTGCCGCCTGGACCCCCGGGGCTCGCCCTCTCCCCCTCGGCCGCCCCCAAGGCCTTCTGCACGAGACCCACAACAGGCCACAGCGAGGAGAGCGCTCCCCGGCCCCGCGAGAGCCCGGCCACCAGCCCTGGCTCTGCCGACAGCCCGCCTCTCTGCTCCCCCGGCACCCCCAGCCCCCCGGCGCAGGCGGCGGAGGCCGGGGGCGTCCAGACCGTGGAGGGCGAGCATGTGGCCGACCTGACGCTCACAGGGGAGGGGCACATCAGCAGCCCTAACAGCACGTTCCTGCCGCCACCCCCCACCCCACCGGGCTCGGCCGCACCTCCGAGACCAGGTACCTCTGGGCGCGACGCCCCTGCTCCCCTCTGACCCCTCTCCTTCCTGCCCGCCCGCCCGCGGTCGCCTGCCCGGTGCTGTCCACCCACTTAGAAAGTGTCAGCGGTGGAAAGTTACCCCCTCTGCCCCTTAATCCCTCTAAGGAGGTTTCAGCGTGCCGGCCCCCTCAGGTACTGTGTTGGTCGTGGCGGCCTCTGCCGTCTCTAAAAGGACCCGGCGGCCGCTGAGGTCAGGGTGTGGCTAGGATGGGCGGCGGGGGGCTCGGAGGGAGTGTCGCCCCGTGGCGTGACGCTCGTGAGCGGTGCCCGCACTGGGCCCGGCGGTGCCCTCCCGCCGTCTTTCCCTGGGTCCCCGGCAGTAAGGCCACCAAGCAAGGCCCTGGGAATTTCTGCAAAATGTACGTGTTACTTTTATTGCAATCTGGATAGCTAGCGGTGGGCTCGGAGAGTGTCGCCCCGTGGCGTGACGCTCGTGAGCGGTGCCCGCACTGGGCCCGGCGGTGCCCTCCCGCCGTCTTTCCCTGGGTCCCCGGCAGTAAGGCCACCAAGCAAGGCCCTGGGAATTTCTGCAAAATGTACGTGTTACTTTTATTGCAATCTGGATAGCTAGCGGTTTTAGTATTTTAATCTCAAGGCTGAAAACAACAGTGTTTGTCTTGAGCAAGTGGGTGAAGCCCGTGTGATTTAGAGCAGGACGGCTGCGCTGACCCTCCAGGGAGGGTGTTCACCCTCCGCCCATCGGTCAGACAGCAGGTGGGGGCCCTGCGTGCTGGGCGCCGGGATCCGCATGGGGTTCCCTGACCCTGGGTGGTCACAGGCGACCCTCCAAACGGAGGCCCGAGCGTGTCAAGGTGAGCAGGGCTGGTGGTGGAGCTGCTCCTTAGCCGCGTGAGTGTTAATAGCAGGTGAAGCGAGGCCCCCAGCCTCCCAGGAAAGCGGCTCCCGCCCCGCACTCGGGCCACGGCCTGTGTGCCCGGCCCCGAGGTGTAGGGGAGGAGCCTTGTCCGCGCAGGCATGTGCCCGTGGAGCCCCTGGGTGCCACCATCCTCTTTGGCGGGCTCCGTGGTGGGCAGACACTAGCTGTGGCTGCTGTTGGGGGTGGCGGGAGGCCCCCTCTGGTCTGAGTCCTGCCCCAGGACTGGGTCCTGTTGGACCTGCAGCCGCATCTCCGTGGGGACCCAGGGCGGCTCTGTACCTCTGGCTCTGTACCCGTGGGGTACTGGCGCTTTGGGGACTGGCTCTGCGGGCCGGGCTCCCGGCGCCCTCCCCACGGAGGCAGCCCGCGGACGTGAAGCCGGGAGAAGCCGCGGCCTTCCTTGCATGTCTCCTGCACTTCGACCCGACTTCCCCTCTGCTCTCCCCGTAGACACCTGTGTGTAGTTTCACCTGTGTTTTGAGTCTGTGCTCTTCCAGGAGAAATAAACTCTGCATCTCCTCATTGGACTGGTTTAAAGCGCTTTCCTTTCTCACTTGAACATCTGTTTCCTCTTTAGAAAACCACAGGTGTATTTTAACCAGGGGAAACATTGCACATTTTAATGGAATTCATTGGGTTTACTTCAATGTACTGGCTTTCGAAAGCAGACCATTCACTCACCAGACGTTCTTGAGCGCCTCATGCACACCCGCAGACACAGCTGTGTAAGGGCGGCAGTAACAAGCCCCACCGGGAGGCTGGGTGTGACAGTGGGGACACCGTGAGGGGCTGGGATGGAGCGCTCGGGGCCACGGCTCTCCCCTCCCTGAGAGTTCCGGGGTCGGGGGCCGGGTGGGGTGCCAGGCGGTGGTGGGTGAGCCGGCCGGGCCGGATCCCTGCGACTCGCTCCCCGTAAACCCAGAGCCCCGGCTCGCTGGCTGCCCGCTGTCCAGCCGTTTCCTCCGAGCTCCCGCCGGGCTTCTCCAGCTCCACATTCTGGGCTTGGGGCATTGGGCCCACGTGGCTTACCCAGTGCGGGGCTCGGCCTTCCCACCTGTGGCCCGGCAGCGTGGGCAGCATGACCGGCAAGTTCTTGCATTTCCGGGGTGTGTTGCCGTTGGTGCCCCTGCACCGTGCACTGGTTGTCCGTGATGAGTAGGAGCCCAGGTGGGGACCCTGGATGCTTGGCTCCGTGAGTGTCCTGAGCAGGGAGGACGGCGGGGGTGGGGGTGGGGGGCCATGAGGGTCTGTGATCAGCTGCGTCCTCCTGGAGCTGGGAAGGGCCTCCGCTCCTCCTGTGCGGTGCCCGTTCGCCCTGCGAGGCCCTCGGTGGGACGGCCTCCACCTTGGGCTCGCCGGACGGATCCTCTGCTCGTCCTGTGAACCTTGTGTCCGCTTTTGTGACGCGGAACCGGACCCGAGGTTCCCCAGCCAGCGTAGGGCGCCGCAGACACCCTTGGGCCAGTGCGCGTCTGGACCCGGCGCTGAACTGTATCCTCGGGCTCCAGAGGGCAGGTTTCATCCAGACCTCCTGCTGATTCTAGCTGCTGTGAGCTGTTTCCTAGGTGGTGGCCACCGTGGCCCCTCCGTTCAGGGCGAGAGACACAGCGTGCTGATGCCGCCGGACCCTGGGGCGGGGAGCCGGGGCCGCATCTGGGCTGTGCAGCCCGGGGCAGGTGGGGGGCTGCCCGCAACACGTCCCCATGTGCGGAGGGTCCCCTCAGAGCCGTGCTGCGCCTGCACCCTGGCCCTTGGTCCCCAGCACCCTCGTACGGAGAGGCCTGTGAGTGCCTGACGCAGCCGAGGGATGGAGGTCTTTGAACGGCCGTGTGGCCCAGGCACGGAGCCTCCGCTGTGGGACGCAGCCTTCCAGTGTAGCCGGCCGTGGATTTGGTCCTCATCCAGGCCACCTTCCCCACTGTTACCTGTTTGGTTTCCAGCAAAACTCTGGGCATTGGTGGGCGTTGGTGGGCATTTCCCGTCCCGGGGAGGACCAGCTGGGTGGCGGTGTGAGTCCTCTGTCCCAGCAGCGCGAGCGTCAGGTTCCGAGGTCGGCGTCCATGGCCCTGCAGAGGGCGGAGCCGGCCTCAGGGCTCGATCACCCAGCAGGCGAAGACCCCGTGTCCACATAGGCAGACGTGGAGAGGGCGTGGGAGTCACCCCCAAAGGGCACCCTCTTCCCAGGGAGAGAGAGGAGCTGTCTTCAGGGCTGACCGGCGGCTGGGTGGGTGGGCGGCCCCGGCCCCGGCCCCGGCCCCGGCCCAGCAGTCCCCCTCCCCCGGCCCCCAGGTGTCCTTGGGCTGGGCATTCCTCACCTTGGCCCCTGGCTGAGCACTCAGCTGGACACGGGAACCCCAGGTGCAGGGCTTGACCTTGTGGGACCTGCTGTCCCAGGAGGTGTCTGCTGCCCTTCCTGGGCCCTGGGCTCAGAGAGCTCCCTCCCTAGCCGGCCCTCCCTCTGTCCAGTGGGTGACCGCAGCCCCTCAGCCAGGCACTGGGCAGGCTTTCCCTCTCACTGCCACCTGGCTGTGCTGGTGTTGGATGCCTGGGTCAGGGTCCTGGCCGGGCCTCTCCCATCTCCCTCCTGCAGGA